CTCTCTTCTATATCTCTCTTCCTTCTCTCTCTAATCCTCTCTCCCATCTCTCTCCTCTCTCTATTTCTGTCTGTAATAACTCCCTCTTGTCTATCTAAACACTTTTTCCTTTTATCTCACTAATCTTTCTAACTCAACTTATCACTCTCACCTCTCACTCCTCTCACCTCTCCTCACTTTTCTCTCTCTAATCATCATACTCACCTCTCCTCTTTCATTTCTTTTCTCTCTCTGATCATCACACTCTTTCCTTTTTCCCCTCACCTTTCCTCTTTTTAATCATCACACTTTCTCTTTTTTTCTCACCTCACACCTCCTCATTTTACATAGCAAATATTTTTCAATATGTACTTAAATAGAGGCACCTTTAATCGTATACATAAAATATTATACGCTGATCAAAATTCAGTTCATCAGGCTATGGACTTATTGATACTCTCTCTCTCTCACACACATACATACACACACACACACTTATAATTGTGCATGTCTCTGAATATATTAGGTGCCTATTTGAACAGTTATTTCTATATATCATGTAAAATTATATATATATATATATATATATATATATATATATATATATATATCTGTATATCTGTATATATATATATATATATATATATCTGTATATCTGTATATATATATATATATATATATATATATATATATATATATATATATCTGTATATCTGTATATATATATATATTATATATATATATATATACATATATATATCTGTATATCTGTATATATATATATATATATATATATATATACCTTGGTATAATGGCTTTAGTTTCAAGAGAAAACAAAAAATGTTTGGTGGATATTTCTTTTATTATATTGGTCATCAATATATATATATATATATATATATATATATATATATATATATATATATATATAAATTAAGTGATTTAAAATATGGTAGCAAAGAAACCATATTTTAAATCAGTTAATTTATATTTATGCTCTGTAAATTTACATTGAGCACTGTTTTGTAAAATATATGTATATATCAAGTAAATTAAATGTATTGCAAATGTAACTTTACCAATACAAAGCCTGCCAAATGAAAGCATTTGAAAGAACATCAAAGAAAAAACAAAGAGAAACCAAAAAGTAATGAAGAAACTCCCAAAATACAGCAATAAAGAGAAAGGAAATCTAAATGGAAAAGATAGATGCCAATCTACAAAATATAATCGAAGGTATTCAATGCCTATGTCAAATAGACTGAGACAGAGCAGTAACCCTAACCAGTGTGTGTGAGTGTGTGCATGTGTGTGTGTATGTGTGAGGGTTTAAATATGGAGAGATGACAAAATGCCAAAATTAAATGGGCACCATTATTTTTAAGGAAGAGAATGTATTCAATATTCTAAACAATTCTTTTGTTCTTGGAGTGTGAGGCACTGTGAAATTATTCTGTGGTTATTTTTCTTAGGTTTTAAGAGCAAACTGTTTAATTATTAGTGTGTATATCTTTATTAGGTACACTATCTCAGTTGACAGTATTGACTTGGCTTGTGCCATGTCTCTATGTGGCTGTATGTACGAGGGTAAGTCAAAAATGACTCGCACTTTTGGCATAATATATCTGTCTTATAAGAACGGATGATTTTTACTTTCCAACGTATATAAGAGGAGAGATGCTGAAAAGTTTTCAGTTCAACCAAGAATCGTTTCTCCCAAAATCCTGATGTGTGATCATTCAAGAACTTTTCAGTATATCCTCATATATATGTAAAATTTCAGATATAGATAAAAATAATACATCTGTAAAAAGGCAATATGAATAAAGACAAAAGGAAAAACTGTTCTTTATTAAAACATTTTGTTTTCTGATGAACTTTATCAAGGCAAACATAAGAATTTTATCTTGCAATGTGTATTTATAAACAGAAGTAAAAAATATTGTTTTAAAAATTTGGAAACCTAACAATATTTTTACTTTTGTTTATAAATACCTGTTGGAAAAAAAAATACTTACATTCACCTTGATTCATATATATCATCAGAGATTGTAATGCATTGGTAACGAAAAGCTTTCTTTTTGTCTTTATTCATATATATAAAAACAGGGTGTGATGGGTAAATTGTTGCCATTTTATATTTTAAATTTCATGCATGCACATTGTTTTTAATTTTTTTGACTGCATAGTATAGTAGGGTCAGTTGGGCACCATCTGTAAGAAAAAGAACACCATGATGCAATTCAATTCACTAGAAATTTGGAAATGGCTTTTATACTGCTTGGCATTCACACCAGAAGCTCCAATATGAACATTTCAGAGAGTTTGGGTGTCAATTTGAAGACAGTGCAGAGGATTCAGAAAGAGTTGAGTCTAATGGTGATTACGAAGGTGTTTGGAGTGATCACTAGTGATGGCGACATTATGCCTCCATTCATCTTCCCACATGACTTCAAACTCAACATCGAGTGCCTTGAGGAGGGGGGGTCAAGAGGGTGGCTACTGAGAGACCCTATGTCTGTCAAAAGGACTCTGCACCATGCCAAACAAGCAGGAGAACTCAGTCATGGCTGCCAGACAATTTCTGTGACCACATCACCCCTTACATCTGGCCACCTAACTCCCCCCAGACTGCAATCCCCTTGATTATTATGTGTGGGGTGCAGTTGAGGGAGAGACCAACGAAAATCCTTGTGAGACCAAAGATAAACTGAGAGCAAAGATTATGGTAGCATTCACCAAATTAAACAAGGAGACCATTTGGAAGAGTTGTAGGAGATTCCAAAGTCGTCTGGAGGCCGGGGTTGAGGCCAATAGTGATTTTATTGGATAAATTTAGTATTTCAAAATATTTTTGTATAATTTTGGTAAATATAACTGTTAAAATGAGATTTCTGTGATATTTTCAGTTTTGTGTCATTTAGACAATTTATCCATTGCATCATATATATATATATATATATATATATATATCACTTAAATGTCATTTTTGGTGGATACCCATATTTGAGTAGACACTTTATTTATTAAACAGTATATCTATTTATTTTCATCTACCTGCCTGGATATCCAAGAAATCGTATTCAAGAAAGGATGTGCCCTCTAGCAGGATTCAAACCTGCATTCTCATTAGCAAGAGAAACTGTTGTTAGATCCAACATACTTTAGACCATCTCAGCCACCAAGAGTCTTGCTGACTGAGCAAAGTTGAATAGTGCCTTATGACTCTTTGTGACTGAATCAGTCTAAGGTATATCAGATCTTAAAACAGTAATAGTGCCTTATGACTCTTTGTGACTGAATCAGTCTAAGGTATATCAGATCTTAAAACAGTAATAATGCCTTATGACCCTTTGTGACTGAATCAGTCTAAGGTATATCAGATCTTAAAACAGTAATAGTGCCTTATGACCCTTTGTGACTGAATCAGTCTAAGGTATATCAGATCTTAAAACAGTAATAATGCCTTATGACCCTTTGTGACTGAGTCAGTCTAAGGTATATCAGATTTTAAAACAGTTTCTCTTGCTAAGGTGGATACAGGTTTGAATTCTGCTAGAGGTTGTGTCTTTTTTTTTATAAGATTTCTTGTATATCCAGACAGGTAGATGAAAATAAATATACTATTTAATAAACAGAGTACTACTCAAATATGGGTATCAATTAAAAATAACATTTAAGTGATAAAATCTATCAGATTAATAATTAAAAAATCTATTACTTCAATAGGTTTGTTGTCTAATAATAGAAAAAAGCTTTTATTTTAAACAAAAAATATTTTTTAACAGACTCTCCTTCCTTGTCAATGCATATAATATATTTAATGGCATAATACCTCATCACGTTCATTTACATTTAATATTAGACTATGAAGTTAGATTATGTACATGTAAAAGGAGTTTATGGCTTCTGGTTAAGGGTTACCCAATTCTATAACCCAAAATTGTAAGACTTGTGAGGTATATTTGAATCATTATTATTTATTTGGTCAAGATAGTTTGAACATTCATGAGTGTATCACACCGACCATCATGGTCTTGCATCAAGGTCAGAAGGTCATTAGGGTGGCATTCTGTGTCATAATATAGCTGGTCAATATAAGTGGTGTCTGGATGACCAGCCATGCTTGCTTCATGGTTAGGTGAGGAGTAGATTACTCATGAGTTCTTGTTTTCCTCACCAGCAATGTCTTGCAAAGTGCAGTCTGTGTTCACATAAGATTGTAGAAATATCAGGGATGGGTCCATAGAGCTGATTTAATTGGATGTTGTTTCCAGGAGATGTTAAGTATAGCTCTCAGCATCTGAGTGTAGGTTACATCAATCTGATACTGTAGCGTTTTAGTTAATGTCCAAGCCGTGGTGTCATACATTAAAACCACCTCTACAGTGGCTCAAAAGAATCTCTGTTTAAGGTTTTCTGGTAGATCAGATTCTCAGATTACATCCATTTTATTCAAGGTGGCCCAGGCTTTAGCTCTGTGAATTTTCACATCCTTTTTATCTTCACTATCTATCTATATTTCTGAGATGAGGTATTGAAATTATTAACATTATTTACATTTTTTGGACTGTTGTCCTTATCTTTATTGTCATGTTTGCAACATTTTGGTCATTATACACTCCAGCCTTCTTCAGGTGATTGGAATTTCAAACTGAACCCTTTATTTCATTCACCAGGGTATTCTACAATGGATGAAATGTTGTGAACATGACAATAAAGATGAGAACAACAGTCTAAACAATGTAAAGAATTTATTTTGCTTTCTATATATATAAAAGATTCAACAGATTTTATTGATTCACCTGAGATATTTTGCATTGAACCTTGAATCATCAGGTGAGCCTTTAATTCATTAAGAGATCCTTTGAGTCACTAGGAGAATATAATGAAGAGGCTGAATTATATGCAAGAAAATATGATAACTTAATGGTGAATAGTAATCACATAGATCAAACATTATACAGCGAAAATTTCAGATCAAAATTTAGATAATAAGTATATGTCAGGCTAGAGACCTGCTAATAGATAGATAGATAGATAGATAGATAGATAGGAACAGAGTGGAAGAGATAGATAGATAGATAGATAGATAGATAGATAGATAGATAGAAGATAGATAGAAGATAGATAGAATGGAAGAGATAGATAGATAGATATATAGATAGATAGAAATAAAATGGTTTGATGGATATTTTACCATTCCTTATTTTCTCTAGATTTATGAACAAGAAAATAAAATGAAAATCAAATTAAGGAAAAGAAAAAGTAACAATTTACCTGCATGTCTCCTAAATTTATCTATAAAAAATATTTCTTCCATTTTCCAAATAAAGATTTCTTCTTACCTTATTTTGCTTTTGAAAATGCGTCTTTTCAAATGCCACAAAGTGTAACATTAAGCAACAATATTTTTGTCTGTTTTATTCTCTGTTAAACAGGCACATGTCTCACTGCGTCTTTTCAGACTATAAACATGTAGAATAGAAATGTATGTTTCAAATAGTTCCTTCATGTAAACTGTTAACCTAAATAAGCAATTCACAGAAATATATCATGTAAATCTTTTCAATTCCTGAAAGGGAAAATATCTATAGCAAGTTATTTGGTGGGAAATGATTTATTTTTAGGAAAGGTGGAGAAAAAGTTTTATACCATAGAAATTATAACAGAAGCATTTAAGCTAAGCAAAAGCAAAGTTATAATTTCACATTAAATCATTCAAACAAAAATTCAATAAGATTGTTTCTCAGGCTGAAAGCCGCCAAAAAGACAATTGCACTTCATTAGTCTACCAAGTGTTTATGATGGTCTATTAAAAAAAATTTCTTTCGCATTTTTGAAGTAAATGAATGACAAAATAGAAAAAAGAACTTCCTATATAACATTCCATCCCTAGAAGCAATTTCTTCAGACTAATAATGATTTTATTGATGGAGTCAGTCTTATATATATATATATATATATATATATATCAAACTCCTTGATAAAATTCAAAGAAGAATCAGCGATACTTTCATGGTAATTGTTCAGATGAGCTCTTTTCTGTGATACCTGGACTTTATAAATATGAAAACTGGTGTTGAAATCTCATCAATTTACAGTTGAGCTGGCTAGATGTAACCATAAATTCTATGGAAACAGTTTCTTTTCTCACACTTCTCACTTGAAAAACTCGTTTCCAACCCTATGTTTTCCAGGTATTTTATTCTTAGGGACTCTGACCCCTGATTTGAATTCAGATTTGTCCTTATCCTAGTCTGGTTGCCAACCATGGCTACAGAACTCGGACTGCCCTACTATTTAACCACAGTTGGAGGTTATGAATTCAAAGTTTTTTCTTACTCCTAGACCAGTTGCCACCCAAGGCTACAAAACCTAGTCTGTCCTGCTGTTTATACATAATTGGAGGATTTTTGAACTCAGACTTACCTTCTCCTAGACTGGTTGCCACCCAGGGTTACAGAATCCAGTCTATTCTGTTATTTACCCATAGCTGGTGGGGGGATGGATTCATACCATTCCCAAGTATATTAGCATATTAGCACATGTGTGAATCTAAGGAACTTGACTGGAATTTGAACTTGGCTTTCCAATTCCTCAATCTAAGCAGCAATCCATTACTCTACTCTGCCTATATATATATATATATATATATATATATATATATATATATATATATATATATAGGCAATTTTATACATTTATTTTTAATATATACACACAATTTTAAATCATCACTAGGGAATGCAAATTTCATAATGTTCTAACGGTCAGTTGGCACTTCGTACCCTGAAGATTGCACATTTGCATGAAACTCTGAGTTGTTCTATCGATGTTGGATATATATATAAATATATATATATATATATATATATATATATATATATATGTTATTTTATTTTACATATTAGGACAAAAAACATGTTGAAATCGCTACACAATAGCTTTTGTATTTTGGTATTACATTGTACCTCTTCAGACGAATGGTAAGTAATTGGTGATTAAATAATTATTAAAAAATTTCAAAAGCAAAGTGTTACCTCTTTTCTGAAAGATAAAGGTGGGGTATGAAAGCACTTGGTTAGAAATAAAAATAGACTTGTGGGTTTGTCTTGATCAACCAATTAAATGTCAGATTTATGCAAAATAGAAAATTAAGCTCAAAGGATGAGGGTGGGGAAGTTATATTTTTTGTGATGAACCAAATCTTAGACAGGTCATCGTTAACAATTACAGAAAAAATGTAAGCAACAAATGTATTGTGATTGTAGACAAATATAACTTATTCAGTTTTTCAAAGGATGCTGAGAGGAGACAAAGGAGGGTAATCAGACGTAAAGTTAATTTCAACAGAAAAAATTTTAAAAATATTTTCATATTCAGGGAGCTTCTTAAATAGACCTGTAGATAAAATTAAAAATATGGAACATCTATATAAGATATAAATAATACTAACTGGATGGCAATACATAGCAATACTAAATCTCACTAAACAAAATAAGATTATAACTTGTAGTGGCTGGACCATTATTTACTCATAAATTATGGCCATAATAACTGGAATTACCTAATTTTTAAAAAATTTAACTATATTGTAGGGTAAAAGATAAACTGTGTTGGTAATTTACAGTTAATTCACTTCTTTGGTTTAGAAGAGATTTTTTTATCAGTAAATCGGATAATTTCCAATTTTTCATGTAAGCATAAGAAACATCGTTCATTTAAAGATTTTTTTAGTATTTTCCATTTTACCGTAGCAGTTTTGTTAACTTCTTTTAAGTTCCAAAATTATTTAGAAAGGGACATTATATTTTTGTAAGCATTATTGGTGAAAGATAATACATGTTCATACAACTTAGTTTTAAAAAATTCTTGGTACTCCCAATATAAAATATTTTAACTATTGGATTTTCAATAGTAGAAATAGTGCTTAGGTAAACAAGAGAGTCAGTTTGACATCAGTTTTGCAATAGGCATTCCTTAGAATTTCTACAATTACACTTGTTGGCATTATCAGTGTTTGTTGCTTTGGAATGGCTATTATTACTCAGATTTTTGTATTGGTTTAAGATTTTATATTATGTTTTTTAATAATTTTTTCAAGATTATCTGTACAGCTATAGCTTAGTTTGAGTGTATTTCTGTTAAAAATTTTACTGTGTGGATTATTTCTCAGGAAGTGTTTATCAGTTATGTGGAGGAACTTTTGCCCTTAGTACTAACCATTTGGTTAAATAATGATTCTTCTCTGGCCACTTGCATGTTGCAAAAAATCAACATTGTTTATAAATTTAAATGTCCTCTTGGAGATTGCATCTCCAATAAAAATAATATCTATGTTGTACACACAACAACACTTTCAGGTAGGCTAAGTCTTCACCTGAATAACATGTCCTATATTTGTAAACATTTACAACAACATACCTGTCCACACCCACAATTCAGAAAAATCCTTGTCAAAAATACCACCATACTTTTCCATGTAAAGAATAAACACAAACTAAAAATTCTTGAAGTTATTTATATCAAAAAAATTGAAACCAAGCCTCAATAAAATTAATTATAAATAGTCCACAAACATTTTCCAATGTGTACAATAGATAGTCTTTAAATGTTAGTGCTTGTCATTAATAGTTTTTCCTTTAGTTAGCAACTAGTCAAGTCCAGAATGTTTTCATAGCATATCTAGTTACCTCCCCTTAAATGGTGTCCGTCACCCAAGCTATGACACAGCATTCTTGACTCCACATATAAAAATGGTAATTTTCAGATGACCACAATTTTTGTCCTTCACAACCACGAACACTAAATACTTACTCCATAATTAACAATACTAATGATAATGATAGCATTATGCTATGTTGAAAGTATTTGGAAATAAACACAATATGAGCCAACACAGTGTTTTCTTTTCATCTTTTAATAACCACACAAAAATCTTATCTGCAAATATGAAAGGAACCTATTGAGAATAAGTAGACAGAACATGTCTAATTTATTTAACAAAAGCTGTCTTAAAGAAAATAAGCTGCCGAAATATGTTTATATATATATATATATATATATATATAAGTGAATATTGAAGTCAACACAAAGAGGCGACTGGTTGTTTTGTAGGTTTACATATACTCTATCTCTGATATTGAGCACTTTATCCCATAAATATAGCACACCTTAAAACTATATTTCTTCACGTATATATATATATATATATATATATATGTCATTTGCAGACAGTACTGTTTTGCTGTATCACAGCTCCTCAGTGCAACTAGATATCCGAAAGCCTTAAGCCAGAAATGAAACCCGACCGATTTGGTATCAGTTGGAATTTCTACCCCTAAAAGCCATCAACACTTGGCTGAGAGAAACTCTTCTAATTCTCGTGTATTGTTTTTACGAATGCAAACAAATGTCAGTTAGCCAGAATGCTCCTATTTATTTTACTGAGGAGCTTTGCATTTTAGCATAGGCGGCTGCTATTTGTAGAATTAGGCTGTCTCTCAAGAGTACTCAATTGAAATATATTTTCAAGCAGTGGTGACTGATGGTCTGACAAGTCAACATTCAAATATATTTATTTCAAAGCAACAAAAATCTTTTGTAGTGCATCGTTTTCATTCTTAACTTCAGCTGGATCTAAAATTCAAAATATTGAATGAATGAAATACATTTTGTTGATATTGTTCATAATAAAGAAGAAAAAAAAGAATGAAATAAAATTAAGCCAGTTGGACTGCATATGTCTTAGCCCTATCTGAGCTGGCCAGCTGGGCTGTGTAGGTCGAGGTCACAACTGAGCTGGCCAGTTGTCAAGGTCATAGCCCTATCTGAGCTGGCCAGTGGCTGTCCCAGTCCCAACTGAGCTGGCCATTTGTGCAGTGTAGGTCATAGCCCTATCTGCTGGCCAGCTGGGCTGTAGGTCATAGTCCCAACTGAGCTGACCAGTTGTAGTGTAGGTCATAGCCCTATCTGAGCTGGCCAGCTGGGCTGTGTAGGTCGTAGTCACAACTGAGCTGGCCAGTTGTGCAATGTAGGTCATAGCCCTATCTGAGCTGGCCAGCTGGGCTGTGTAGGTCGTAGTCCCAACTGAGCTGGCCAGTTGTGCAGTGTAGGTCATAGCCCTATCTGAGCTGGCCAGCTGGGCTGTGTAGGTCGTAGTCCCAACTGAGCTGGCCAGTTGTGCAGTGTAGGTCATAGCCCTATCTGAGCTGGCCAGCTGGGCTGTGTAGGTCATAGTCCCAACTGAGCTGGCCAGTTGTGCAGTGTAGGTCATAGCCCTATCTGAGCTGGCCAGCTGGGCTGTAGCTATCTGAGCTGTAGGTCAGTGGTCATAGTCCCAACTGAGCTGGCCAGTTGTGCAGTGTAGGTCATAGCCCTATCTGAGCTGGCCAGCTGGGCTGTGTAGGTCATAGTCCCAACTGAGCTGACCAGTTGTGTGGTGTGGGGTCATATCCCTATCTGAGCTGGCCAGCTGGGCTGTGTAGGTCGTAGTCCCAACTGAGCTGGCCAGTTGTGCAGTGTAGGTCATAGCCCTATCTGAGCTGGCCAGCTGGGCTGTGTAGGCGAGTCCCAACTGAGCTGTGTAGGTCACTTAGCCCTATTGATCTTTAAGTCCCAAAAACCAGTTGTGCAGTGTAGGTCATAGCCCTATCTGAGCTGGCCATATTTTACAAAATGGAGTTATAGTGTAGGTCATAGCCCTATCTGAGCTGGCCAGCTGGGCTTAGAGTCACAACTGAGCTGGCCAGTTGAAGGTCATATTGAGCTGGCCAGCTGGGCTTTTAGGTAGTCCCAACTGAGCTGGCCAGTTGTGCAGTGTAGGTCATAGCCCTATCTGAGCTGGCCAGCTGGGCTGTAGGTCATGGTCCCAAATATAGTTTGCAGTGTAGGTCATAGCCCTATCTGAGCTGGCCAGCTGGGCTGCATAAGTCATAGCCCGATCTTTAAAAAAACCATATCTGGCTAGATATTTTTAAAAATGATATATTTTAGTTAGAGTAAAGGAATCATTTTAGCATTTTGGTATAACTTATTATACCAATAATATATTTTGTTAAAGATATATAATGAGCCTGACAAACACTGATGAACTAGAGTCACTACTGATACATACATATATATATATATATATACATATATATATATATATATATATGTAGATTTAATGGGCTGGTTAATGAAATTTGAGAAATAAAAATATAACAAAATGATAAAAATATTGTCAATAAGACTGATGATATTTATTTTATATTAGTAGTCCTTTTGACTAAACCGAAGCATAAAGAGAAAGATTTTCAAATTTTGGGATATTGCTATATCCTTTATCAATGAGATATTTTATTATTATTATTATTATTATTATTATTATATATAATTTCCCTTTTCAGCCGGCATTAACCTGACGATCCGTTTAGGTGAAACCTAGGTAGGTTTGCCCGGCTCCTTAGGTTTATCTTGGGTTTTGCTCTACTTAGCGTATCGAGCACTTTACATAGTTGTCTTTTTACTCGTTTTTGGGTTTTTATTTGGAACTTGGAGCTTGGACACTGGGCGATTGTTTTCGTCTTGGTTTAATGTTCTTGGTTCCTTCTTTTTTTATTTCCCATTTTTCCTCAGGTACTGATTTGTTCTTTTGCAAGTTGAGCTATTCAAGGTTTTTTCAAGCAAGTATCACCATATATATATATATATATATATATATATATATATATATATATATATATATATATATATATATATGCCATCACAATATATATATGTATATATATTGTGATGATTGGGAAGAAGTACAATAAATCCCAGTTATAATTTTACATTGAAATCACTAAAGATACAAGGATGCTTAACTTTAAATTTAAATTTTAACATCTGGTGACTATATTCATCTTTCTATTGCTTTTGTTGTTATTTTTATTGCTATTCTTTATAAATATCCCACATTATAATAGCAGTAGATTTATCAGGAAAGGAGATAAGTTATTTGATCATGGAGATAAATTTAGCATGGAAGATTCTAAAATTATTGCACTTTCTATATATTTTTGTATTAATAAATTACTTTGTTTTAATTAACACTTCATTCTTTAAGCCAAAATTATAGTCAAACAATGGATGACTAATACATTGAATACATTATTTTGTAAAAGATCCCTTTTGTGTTCATATAATATTTTATATAAATTCCTAGATGTATACCTATGTAATTCTTTAGATTTTCAGAAAAATAAATAAAACCCTTTTGTGCTCTATTATGAACCCTGTCAATGAACACGTTTTAAATTTATTAATTACAGAATACTCTATTAACTGAAGAATAAAATCCTCTATTGTAAATTTGGATTTTAAGAAATTTGTCAAAATTTAATGATCATATTTATTGTATTATGTTTTATTGTATTATGTGATTAATACCAGGAAATACTAGCAGTTTAAATTGAACTTAATGTCCAGCAGGAACTTTTGTTCTAAGAATATTTGATCTGTGGTGACCCCAACATGTATGGTGTTAACCCTAAAAGATAGAAAAGTAGGCTTTGCACTTGGTGTCATTTCAGAAAGTTAAAATATCTAGGAGCCACAAGAGATGACCTAAAAGGTGTCCTCAATACCGCCAGGTGCAGAATGAGGCTTCAAAGGATGTTGGTGTGTACCCCAACATAAACAAGAAAGTGAACCCAGGATATAAATACATATAACAAGATAACATGAAGTTTAGGAAGTTATAAAAACAGTCAACCTATGAAAGAAGGAGAATAATTCATACTGTCACAAGAAGATCAAATGTTTGAAGAAAGACCTGAAATCACATACCTTTGATGTGGCTAATCTTAATTTGACAGACTTCAGATCTGAATAAATAATTTCTCTATGAATGGAAAATTTAATTTTATATTCTTATCAGACATTACGTTACCAAAATGAGTTCCACATAACACCAGGCTATGAGGAAAGCCAAAAAGATGGAAGTACAGACAAAAAGAAATGGTTGGAGCCACTTTTCTTTTAGAGAGATTAATAGTAGTTTAGATTTAAATGAGCAGAACAAGTGAGTCACACTGGCATTTCTCAGTATAAAAGGAGTTTGGTAAATCAATGGGTTGAACTATCCAGACACAGTGAGATGTTGGAGGAAAGGCATCAGTTCTAATCTAAAATTGGCTTTTGTTGCATGGGAAGGATAAAGTGGGGAACAACCAACCTAGTCAAAGGCAAAAAGTAAGTCATTTCATCAAGGAGCATATATGTCTTGCATACAATGAAAATGACCTCTGACCTTGAAAAATTGCTCTTTTTCAGAGGCTAAGATAGGTAGAGCATATTAGCATCAATATATCTTTATGAACTTTGCTCCTCCTGGTTTCTAGTTTTAAAAGTCCAGAGGTGGGGGGCACTTGAGGTAGAGGGTTACGTTAGGATGACATTTGTGTGTATAGGAGTGGAAAATAATGGTTAACCCTAGAACAGAACCGTAGAATAGAACCCTATCTTGAACAGGTTAAGATTGCAGTGATCCTGGAAACATCCTGTTGGTAATTCGTTCCACAGGGCAGTGGTTCATGGGAAGCTGCTTGAGTGGAACTTACGTCTCATTGATGGAATACTGAGAGAATGTGGGTGGTTTGCTGCTATCTAAGTGGCAAATTATGTTCCTATTATGAACGTTTGCCTTGGTGGGACCAGGGAATTGTAGTTCGCCCAAGCACTTTCTATGGTAGTAGCAGTTGAGCAGCAAGAGGCTTGCCACATCCTGTATGTGGGAAAGAGATTCAAGTGGGGAGAATAATTCATCACCCACAAGGGCTTGGAGATGTTTTTGAACTCTATCAAGGCTGTTGAGAGAGGTTTGGACAGCTCCCACCCAAATAGGACAACAGTACTCCATTTTTAACCTGATCTGGCTCTTGTAAAGGTAGAGGATAGCAGGAGAAGTCAAGTACTTACTGGAGCGCTACAGGGAGACGACCATTTTACCTGCACCCTTAACAATGGATTGTATGTACGAGTTTCACTTGAGGTCAGGTGTGTGTTTGGGACCCAGCAGTCTTTCAAAGCATGATGCTTCTCTGAGAGGACCTCTCGTCATCTTGATTGATGGTAGTTTGGTGGTAGTCAGATTGGCAATGATGGAATGTAACTAGCTTGGTCTATTCAGGGCATTGAATGTAACCAGCCAGTTTTTACCCCATTGAGTAGTTTGTGCAAAATTAGAAGAGAGATCAGTCACCAATCTCTGACCATCGACAGTTTTAGAGGTGCACTTGTATATAGCCTTCCATCAGTATGGCTGATTCTAACCTCCAGGAGAGTGACTCCTTATGCTTTTTCAGACTAATATTTTCCACTGATATGAAATTGAATGATTATATTGACTCAATTGCTAGATCTGCTACTAGGAAAGTTAGTTCACTGTGTCATGCCAGACAATTTTTCTTGACAGACTCTATTTTACATATTTATAAGTCTACTATTCACCTACAAATTTAATATTGCTATCACATCTGGTCTGATGCTTCTGTTATGGACTTAAAGATTCTTGATAAAATACAAAGAAGAATATGCAATATCATTGGTCCTGAACTTGGTTTCAGTCACTGTGGCCTGGCAGATCTTAGCTGTGAAGGCCTGAACTGGTGGAAATAATGAATGTAGTTTGTTAGAACATTTGCCATGGAAATAGCAACAGAGTAGTGAGATGCGTACATGTTACTTGTGGGAAAGAGATTGCAGACAAGAAAATAATTAATCACCCACAAGGCTGCATAGACACTTTTGAACTGGAAATGGAAGACTGAGTAGCTCCATTCCAGATATGGCAGCAATGCTCCATTTTTGGTTTGATTTGACTCTAGTCAAAATAGAACATGCTACCATACATGTGTTTATAACAGCTATTAAATATTATATCCCTGAACCATTACATCTATAATCCTTATTTCAATCATTCCTTTTATCACTCAGACATTATATTCCTCAGGCATTGTATCTCGGATTTTATTTTAATCAGATATTATAACCCTTAGTCATTATGTCACTCATCCATTATACAGAGTGTAACGAAATATTTGTTATAGTACCAATTAATGAAAATATGAAACTTACTCTTTGATACATAACATTACATTTTATTCATCTCTGAACTTCATGAATTACTTTTGGTCAGTGGGTGTGTGCAACCCTGGGTCCTCATCTGAACACAGACATTACATTTGTATGTACAATGTTTGAGAGAAACTG